GTGGGATTTTCACTGCAGTGTTCAAAACAATTTATGAGACACTGAAGTTGGCCATGTCCAAATGCAGCGAGACCTGGACAATATCCAGAAATAAAGAAAATGTATTTCTCAAACTTTATGAGCAGAGTAATTTCTTAATCCAAGAGAGCACAGTTGAAACAGAATTGTTTATCTCTACTTTGTGGATTTATGCCTCAATTTCTGGATATGTAGATGGGCTCTGGTCATTGTTATTAACATTATTAAAAACATGGCATTGCATAAATTGCTGGTGTTTGACCTGATGGGATCAAGTAAAACTGTAGACCACCAGTACAAACTGAGAAAATAGGGCTTGTATTGAATGTGCTGAAGTTTAACTTGACCCTACAGATTAATTTGTATGACAGGACTCCAGAGAAAATGGTTGCAATCTGATTCCTAATAACACTTGGAGAAGATATTAAGAAAACCAATTGATAGAAAGCAATGTAAAGTATTTTGGATAATCTAGATAAATAGATAAGGTCTTCTGGTGCTTACCTGATTGGCATTTGGAGAAAGGAAGGACTTTCTGAGAAGAGCCTCATTGCCTTGTAAGACCAGGAATTTTGCAAAGCCTGAAAGCTCTGTACCTTAAGCAAGATGGTTCCTGAAGGTCGTTACACCCCCACCCCACCGGAAGAGGACGAACATACGAGAAGGATATATTTTATTTATTTTCTGTGCAAGGTTGGTATTTGCCTTCAAACCAGACCTTTTTAGCCTGTTTTCTAAAACACAATCCGTGGGCATTACTCATTTGAGGAACCTCCACCCCCAACATCAATTGACAATCCAAATACTACTTCTAAGTCCGCTTTGTGGAGTTTGAGATTTTCCCATATCTGCACTCCCGAACCAGGAGCAAAAGTTCTGGCCTAAATCTCCAGGCTGTCCCAGTAGCTTAACTAGTTAGCACGTGAGAGGCAATTAGCTGAATGTGAGAGAGCACATATGACTCCCACGGCCTGATCTTGATGTGTGAACACAAAACACTTTCTTCAGAGATAGCACACTTTACTAAATACTGGGAAATGTGCAAACATTTACTTCACACAGGCTACGTGAATTGGAGAGAAACCAGTCAAGACAGTGTTGTTAACTCTCTTTCTAACCACATGCATCCAACAAACTGTTCAAGTGCTAGCAACAGTTAACATGCTATCAAAGATACAGACAGGATTTCTTTAGAACAGGTGGTACTGACCATATGCGACAGATGTACTTGTTCTAATTGTTCAAGTAAAACGCCTCCATTCTGGAATATCAATTTTCAAAAGGGAGACTGCAGGATTGTTTAAAGATTGCTTTTGATATACCTTTGTTCAGCATGATCCCCTTACAGCAGCCTTTGCAGGTATGATGCTTGCACTATTCTGAAAGAGAAAAAAAATCATCTGTTTCTGGTAGAATTGAACAGTTATATAGAAGTATTTGTCTATCTGTTGCATGAGAGATTTGCAAAACACCCAATCAAAGGAATTCAACCGACTGATTTGTGAAGTCATTCAAAGCTTGTGCATCATTTTAAACTGGGCTGGCTAAATAACAGTTACTGCTTGCTGCTTTTTAAGAAATAATTAAAATTGTTCATTTTGTTGGTTTGAGCATGCTAAAAACAAACCACTAACTGCAGCCTAAATCCCAGTTGGCTTGGGCAAACCACAGTGGGTTAAAATGAAAATGAGCTGACTTTAATCTGTAAAACAAAGGATGTTACCAGCTTTGAGAAGTTATAGAATCATTCAATCCCTACAGTGCAGGTAAAGGTCATTCAAACCATCAAGTCTGTACCGATCTTCCGAAGAGCATCACACCCAGAACCAGCACCACCCTCATCCCCGTATTTACCTAATCCACCCAGCCTACACATCCCTGAACACTACGGGCAATGTAACATCGCCAGCCCACCTAACCTGCACACCTTTGGACTGTGGAAGGAAACCGGAGCGCCCGGCACGAACCCACGCAAACTCCCCGCAGAATTGCCCGAGGTTACAATCGAACCGGATTCCCTGGTGCTGTGAGGCAGCAGTGCTAACCACTGAGCTATCCCAAAAGTCACAGCGTCGCTCTGTACAGAACCTGTTGCTCTCCTGCCACTTCAATTCTTCCCGAAGTGTGGCAGCACAACGCTTGAATCTCCCTCCAGGAAGATGCTGTGTGGGTAGAGAACCTCCATCATAGATCACCACTGGTGGTGTTATTCCTTCACCTCTAAAGATACTTTCCCTTCATCCTATGCACTCTCTTGCTCTATACTGATATGTTCCTAATCAATCTGTTCAGATTGCTATTACACAGCTCTGGAGCAGTGGGACTTGAACCTGGGCCTCCTAGTCCATGGGTCGGGGCATTACTACTACACCACATATATATTTTGCTCTCTCCCACTATCTAACACTACTCTCTCTGTCCATGACTGATGTTATCCTGACTGCCTGCTCAGTTGGATAGGTTAAGAGTCTGGTATTTTTCTGGCATTTCCAGGGCAGCTACTTTCTTTCCACTGGGTGTGTCCAATTGAAATTACTCCATGTTTATAAAGTTGAGCAGTGGAAAGATATGGTAGAGAAATAAATCTGGATAGTATAAGATGTATGACATGGAGGAATGATCAGTAATATAAAATCAGTGCCATTGAGGTAATTTTTGTTTGAGCACTAATGAAAACTTAGTATGCCATTAACAGTTCAGTTACCTTTTGAATGCATCAGCCAAAACACCTTTTTTTCCCCGAGCATTTGGTGCTAACAAGTGACCGAAACCTAAGGAATAGGATCAGGAATAGTCCACCATTTAATAAGACCATGATTGATCTTTTAAGTACAACATCATGCTCTCCATGACTTCCAATGCTGAATCTGTTCTACTTAGAGGAGTGGGGTAAACTTCCAGATTTAAAATTTTATCGTGCATGTACACTCTACCAGATATTGCCTGATCTACATCATCAGCATTGGGCAATGATCACTTCACTTTTCCTTTCAATGCAAAATCCAGCCCAGTGTATTTATGCAGGGTCGTGGAATGCATTGCCTGAAGCAGGTCCATGAGGTTAGCAGCAAGGCTGACCAGGGTGACTATTTCAAATGGAAGATCTTTCAACCAGAAGATGGCCAGGCTTTTCACACTGTGTGTGGACAAGGTCGAACAATATGCCTCATACAATTTTGCAATTTTTAAAGTATACTCAAAGAAAGTTTAACAAACATGTTCAAAACCAGCATCCTAACATTCCAAATTCTTATGGCTATGTACCTGGATCATGGGAAATCAATGATACAACCTATGGCACAAAATTTACAAAGCTTATGCAGGTCCTACTGTTTATGTCAACAGCTGTGGGCCCAAGATCATTTGAATTTTGGACTCCAGTTCTGTCCTTCCGTTTTAAATTCTAAACACTGGTTTGAGAATTTATTAATGAGCATATTTAATCTGACTTCAGAAATGTAAACTACAGATATTCAGTACCAATGACTGCATTGTATTCTATTCTAGCAAACTTTAATTCCTGTTACACGGTCTCCCCAACACAATAAAAAAAAATCCCCGGCATTAGAGAGGAGTTGGAGTTTGAGATTTGGTGATAAGGATTTTCCCTCTTGTTTAATGGAGTAATTTGGTAAAAGTGTACATTATCAGCTCTACCTTGACTCCTGAAACACAAGCAGAAATTGCTGGAGAAACTTCAAGTCTGGCGGCATCTATAGAGAGAAAACAGTTTTGAGTCCAGTGACCTATCTTCAAAACTGAATTCAGTATTCTAAAGACTCCATGTTGATTCTTTATTTCTGTCCACAGATATTGTCAGACTTGGAGTTTCTCCAGCAATTTCTGTTTTTGTTTCTGATTTCCAGCATCTGCAAGTTTTTGTTTTACAGATGAAGATTCAGTGGACTGGAGACATTAAATCTGCTTTCTTCCCATAAATGCTGCCAGACCTGCTAAGTTTCACTAGCAATTTCTATTTTTGTCTTTGTTTTTGTTTGCTTCTGATCAGTTGAGTATTAGGCTGTAGCTGTGTGTTGCTACTGTGTGTTGCTCCCTTTTGGCCTTGGGAAGGAGTGTTTGGTCCTTGTGCCTTGATACCAACTGGAAACCTGCTCTCTGACAATAACTGCATTTGTCTTCCCAGATAAACTGGAAAAACTAAACCTCTGTCAGAAGGAACAAGACGCTGCTCAATTGAGTTTTATCAGGTTAAAGTGCAGTTTAATTGCAAAATGATTGGAGCATCTATGAAGGTGTTTATTCTGTTTCTAATTCTGTTGACTATTTCTTAACTGCACGTGTAGTTGTGAAAGCCCTGCTGAATTCAGGATTCACACCCCACACCTTTCCCCCTGCTGGTACAAATGGATCTGCTGAAAACGTGAGCTGGTCTCTACTTTTGGGTGCTGCCTATCATTTTAACAAACCTCCAGATTTGGTTCACCTCTGCAAAATTCTGTACCTGTTATTTCAAACCGCAAGAGAAATTACAGTCAAATGTCAAGATGTGTCGAGTTTTTTCAGTTGGTGTCTTTGGGGCAGCATGAGGACTGAATACATTGAATAAATGTAACAGTAGTTTTTTTTTGGTCTGAGTACAATGTTTAATGGAAGTACACTTTATATGGCTGATGATGCAAACTAGGTCTCAATAGTAGCAAGCACAGGTTGGAATACCATCAAGAACCAGCAATCATAGTGGTTTTAAAGAAAAATGCCTCCTGCTTCAGCATTCCTGTGTTATAGTAACACCTCTGCAACTGGTTTTAAGTTTGCAAACTTAAAACAACGTGGTACAGCTTTCCTATATTTACTTTTGTTTCTGTCTCTGCTTTCTTTTAAAGCACAATATGAAAGATGACCTGGTACAATCTTAAGTCCAATGATTCACACATCTGTGCTTCTGTTTTGAGAGTTTTTTTTTCATACTTTGAGCATGTACTATTGTTTTTGTTCTGATTGCTGTTTCTTCATGAGTTTAGAGATGGAGACTGCCTCATCCCAGGGACAAAGTAATGACTTGGCAGAAGATAGGACTGCTGCACAACGATACATGATTCGAGTGAATGGAGTTTTACATAATGGTAAAACCTACATCTTGTGAATAATTATAGACTGAATGACAAGTCAAGACAGTCTCAAAATTTGTTCCATAGTTTGAGTAACAGTAGGCATAGATGTTTTTTAAAATTTCTAGGTTTAGTAAATGGAAGCATCACTTAATGCAATTTCACCAACCTATGGATCAGCTTCTGAAATCTCTAAGGATTTTTAATAAAACTGCCTTTCTTTTCTCATCTTCTTTACCCCCACCAACTATTTTTTGAAAAACATTTGGCTGCTTTTTGATGTGTAAAGTGAAGTTTACTCAGCTATTACTTGCATAGAGACTAGCTAAAACATTATAGCTGAATATTATTACATTTTTGATATTTTAGCGAAAAAATATTGACTTTATGTTGAAGTTTTTCATCACTTTTGTGTAATTATTCAAACCAGTGAAGAGGAAATGCTTAAAAAAGACCCAATTAAGGCCATGCCTTTAATACATACTGGACTTTTTTAAAAAAACAAAACTGGATTAAGTCCTTTGTCCGTGGCAAACAAAAATGAACTTTTCCAATTTTCTAAACCACATGACCAAGAATTTGGATTGGTCAGCTGGAAGACCCAAAATCACATTGTTCCAAGAAAACTGGATTCTCAAGTTAATATTGTATTGGCTGAATAAACTAATAAGACTCAGGGACAAAGTTAGAAAATAAGTTTCCAAGAAACAAGTGAGTGCGAGTGGAACATAAGTTTCAAAAATCGATCTGTCAAAATAAACTTTACTATAGGAATAGGATCAAAGGCTTGAAGGAGACATTGAGTAGGTTCACTGGGGCTGATAGACAATGGTAAAAGTAACTGATAGAAAAGTCCACAGAATAGATCATAGACTTGAAGAAAGTTAGGCACCAGGGATAGAAACTCAAATTCTTCTGATTCACCAAGAAAATCAGCCTTATCCAAAAGCAAAGAGAAATAAATGTATGAATCTGTATAGTAACCTGCAAAACAAAACTTTACAGGGTTAAAAATACATCAAATTAATGAGTTAATAGAACCAGAATAAGGAGTTTGAGATGAGACTAATAAGAATAGTTGACAACCAAAAGACAATTCCAGTGCTGAAGATATCACAAATATTAACAAGGACTCTTCATTAAATCTACAGGTTTGACAGTGCCCAATTAAGAAAACATTGTTAAAATATTCTTTGATTGAATTTAGGGATCATTGGCAAGGCTGGCATTCTTTTTTGTCTACCCTTATTTGCCCTTGAACAGAGTCGCAAGGTGAAGCTGTTTCAGAGAGCAGTTAATGGTCAATGCATTGTTATAGATTTGGAGTCACATCAGCCAAACCAGGTGAGGACAGCAGGTTTCCTTTACTAAAAGTATACCAGTAAACCAGATGAATTTTTACAAAAATGTTAGTTTCACTGTCACTGTCACATAGACTATTCTAGATTTTGTTACATGAATTAAAATTCCAGCAGCTGCTGTGATGGGATTTGAAGCATTAACCTGGGTCATTGGAATGACTCGCCCAGTGACATTACATCATCATCTTCCTAGCAATTAGAATGGGCAGTAAACGCTGGCCTAGCCAGTGGTTCCTCATCCCATGAACAGATATCTTTCCTTTGTATAAGCCACCCATGTCCCACATGTGGGCATCCTTTTCTGCCGAGTGCTGTAGACAAACCTTCCCAGTACTCTACATCACTGCTTAATTCTGAAAGATCTCTCTAAATATCCTTCAAAGTGCAAAGGTAACTTGATGCCATGGAACAGAGCTTAACCTTTGCATCATAAGAAACAGGAGGGTTAAGCCATTTGGCCCCTTCAGCCTGCTGCACCATTCCTGCTTCACCATGTCCCCGCCTCCCTAACCTGTCCTTCCTCCCACCTCAAGCCCCACCCCTATCTCCTACCTACCAGCCGCATCCTGCCCCCTTGACCTGTCTGTCCTCCCTGGACTGACCTATCCCCCCCTAACTCCACACCTACACTCACCTTTACTGGCTCCACCCCCGCCTATTTGACCTGTCTGTCTCCTCTCCACCTATCTTCTCCTTTATCCATCTTCTATCTGCCTCTCCCTCTCTCCTTATTTATTTCAGAATCCCCTTCCCCTCCCCCATTTCTGAAGAAGGGTCTAGACCCGAAACATCAGCCTTCCTGCTCCTCTGATGCTGCTTGGCCTGCTGTGTTCATCCAGCTCTTCACCTTGTTATCTCACCATTCAACTAGATCACCAAGTGAGGCTTTACATGCACTATCCCATTATCCATGACATCTTCAATATCTAGAAATCTATAGATCAGTCTTGACCGTAATGAACGAGTCTCTATAGCCTTCTGGAGTAAAGGTCAAATATTTGCTACCCTCTGAAGGGAGAACTTCCTCCTCTCTCATTCCCAAATGGCTAATCTCTTATTCTGAGTGTGTCCCTACTTGTTTTAGAACCTCCAGGCAGGGAAAACGTCAGTACTGCACCTACCTTGTTAATCCCGAATGGGATCACCCTTATTCTTCTAAACTCGATGGCTAAATCTCCTCTTACAGGAAAATCTCACCACTTCGACAATCAGTGTGGTGAACTTTCATTGCACTCTAATTACACGTATACCCTTCCTTAGGTTAGGAGACCAAAACTGCACCCAATACTCTGTACTACTGCTACATTACTCCTGGGTTCAAATCCTCTTGCAACAGAGGTTAACATACTACTTACCTTCATAATTTCTTGCTGCACTTGTACGCTAGTATTTTAGTAAGACATGAACAAGGGCAGGCAAGTCTTTTTCGATCAACATTTCTGAATCACACCAGTTTGCAAATACTCTGCATTTGTTCTGAGGAGGGGTCACTGGACCCAAAACGTTAACTCTGATTTTTCCTCACAGATGCTGCCAGACCTGCTGAGTTTTTTTCAACAACTTCTGTTGAAGCCTTTTGTCTTGTATTCATCAGAAAATTTTGCAAGAATACAAATTCAAGAAAAGAAGCGTTTATACTGCATGAGAAAAATGCTGATTGGTTGCCATGAAAAATGTACCCATTGATAGTTAAGCTTTATTTAGATTTTAAACCAGACAGATCAATGCTGATTGGCTAAGGGCTTGCCTGACAAATGAACATACAGGGAGAAACAGAAACATAGAAAATAGGAGCAGGAATACACCATTCCACCCTGAGGCTAATCTACCAATCATTATGATCGTGGCTGGTCATTGAGCTCAATACCCCAATCCCTCTCCCACGCCCCCGTATCCCTTGACCACTTTAGCCATAACAGCAATGTTTTGGCTACAATCACTTTATGGTCATGAATTCCACAGGCTTGCTGCTCTTTGGTGAAGCAGCGATAGTCTAGTGGTATTAGCATTTCACATTCAACCAAAAATCCAGATAAAGTTCTGGGGACCTGGCTTCAAATCCCACCATGACCAATGATTTGAATTCAATAAATTTCTAGAATTACAAGTCTAATGGTGACCATGAAACCATTTTCAGTTGCCAGAAAAAAACCCAATAACGTCCTTTAGAGTCTTTATCAATACGTAAATGTACCTACTAGAGAAGGAGCAAAACTTGACTTCTCTTGGGAAAAGAGACAGGGCAAGTGACTGAAGTGTTAGTAGGGGAACCCTTTGGGACTAGCAATCATAATTCTACTAGTTTTAAAGTAGTTGCTAAAAAAGATAACCCTTCCATAAAAGTTAAAGTTCTTAATTGGAGTAAAGCATATTTTAACGGTATGAGTGAGACAGCGATGGTATTTTGGTGCAGAAATGTCCATCCACCTCAATTGGGAACCTCATTGGCTGGCTGCCAGTCACTGGCCCTGCATTCCACACTGCCCCACCCCACAGCTGGAAATTGGATGCCCCTCCCTACTTTGTGTGTGCTTATTGGCCTTTGCGAATGACCCTCAGCAGGGGCAGGGATTTTGAATCCAAATCTGCAGGCAACCACTAACTTGCCAAAAGAGATTTCAATCTACAGTCAAAGTTCCAAATAAAATTCCGCAGGTACATTGTCACTGTATGTGGGTGTGTTAGGAGTTTTATTTTTATTTTCCTGTACTTTGAAACATTTGAAGCAATATAATAAAATGTGAAGAGCCATAATAAAATGTAGTAATATGCTGGAGAAATTCGACAGGTCTAGCAACATCTGCAGACAGTTCTGTCCTTCTTTCTTCACAGAAACTTCTAAATCTTCTGACTGTAGCACTTCCTGTCTTCAATTCAAATCTCCAGCATCTGCAGTATTTTTCTTTTGTTAGTGAGGAGCTATTGGGAGTAGCTAATTTTGGAGACAGGTTTGTTGCTGTTTTATTGATTTACTTAATCTCAGTTGAGATTGTTCAGAAATGTTACAGATGTTTTTTTGCTTTGCTTCTGTGGAACCTTGCTTAATTATTTCTCTTCTTTCTACACATCATGCTGCATTCACTATCCCTCCACTGTTTTATGCACAGAATGTGCAGAAGGGGTACAGGAGAATTCACTTCTCCAATGTGAACAACTGCGGACAATTTCAAAGTTTGCAGATAACATTAAACATAAAAGAACCGCAAAGTGCAAGAAGGATGGTGTGGAACTCCAAAAGGACACTGACAAGTTTGGAGTGGGCGGATGGGTTGTAGATAAGGCTCAATGATGAGAAGCAAGAGGTGATGTACTTTGGTGGGAAGAACATTGAAAGGCCGTATAGCAGGTGCAGGATCAGGGTGACCTAGGTGCATAGATGCACAGATCATTCAAGGTAGGATAGGTGGAGAGAGCAGTTAATAAAGCCAAGTACACTGTATACGTTATTAATAGAAACATAATATGCAAGAGTAAGAAAATGATGTTGGATTTGTGTAAGACACTTGTTAGACCTCAGCTGGAGTACTATGTATAGTTGTGGGTGCAGACAATTTACAAAAATCTTTCAGGAATGAGATACTTCAGTCATGAGGATAGGTTGAAGAAGTCATGGCTGTTTTCTCTTGGAAGAGAAAGCCAAGAGGAGATTGAGTTGATTGAGGTTTTCAAAATGGTGAGCAGGCTGGATAGGGTAGATCGGGAGAAGCTATTCCTGCTTGTTAAAGAGAAAAAGAATGAGACGGTATAAATTTATAGTTACATGCAAAAGAAACAAGGGTAATGTAAGGTGAACTTTCTTCAGTAAGTAGTTTCGGACTGGAATGCACTGCCTGGCAATGCAGTGGAGACAAGTTCAATTGAGGCATTCTAGAGGGCATTGGATAATTATTTGGATAGTAACAGCACGCAGGGATATGGAGAAAAGACAAGAGATTGGTACTGGGTAATAGAACCAGCGCAAGTACAATGTGCCAAACAGCCTCCTTTTGCACTGTAATTATTGTGATGAGCACAAGATGTCAGCAAGACAGACAAAACTGGAGATAAATTAGATTGTATACTAGTCTTGTGAAGAAAATGATTATTTTTGATTTGCATATGTATTTATGTATTATTTAATTTGTGCAGTTATGTTGTAAGGTGTTTGTTCATGCTTATTTTGTCTTTTCCCAATAAAAGTTTGAAACTCAGCTAAATGTCTCCTTCACTTCCTTCAAAGCATGGGTTGGGTATGTTGGCATCATTTCCAGTGGCTAGGACAATGCTCCAGTTTCATCCTTTTCCTTTTGCTGTGGTTTGATGCAACTGAGTGACTTGCTAAACTATTTCTGAGGGCATTGAAGGATCAACCAAACTTCTTGCTTATGTGCCACATGTAGGTCAGACCAAGTTAGGATGGCAGGTTTCCTTTCCAAAATGGCAAACTCAGCAGGGTCTGGTAGCATCTGGCAGAGAGAAGCAATTAACCTTTTGAGTTCATTATGACTTTGGAACTGTCCTGCCAGAATGTTGAGTTTCTCCAGCATTTTGTGTTTTAGTGACAGTGGTTTCATGATTATCATTAAGGCTGTAGTTGTGGGATTTGAACTCCTGTCCCCAGAGCATTAACCTGGGTCTCTTATTACCCTTCTGGTGGAATTACCACCATGGTACTGCCTCCTCTAATACTTAACAAATGAAATCTTTTTAAGTTAATGTTCCAATCCCCTCTGTTACCATGCTTGTGTATGTTCCGTCAGCAAGATAATGAAGACTTTTTAGTACAGAAACAGACTTCCAACAACCAGAACTATCATCTCAGCCCAGGATGTCACTGTAGGAGATTCTCAGGGTAGTATTTTTGGCCCACCCATCATCTGCTTCATCAATGACCTTTCCTCCATCAGAAAGTCAGAGATGGGGATGTTTGTTAATAGTGTTGAGCACCATTCACCGTTCTTCAGCTACTGAAGCAGTCCAGGCCCAGATAACATTAGGTAACATTCAGGCTTTCTCTGACAAGTGGCGAGTAACATTTATCCTGTGCAAGTGCCAAGTAATGACCATCCTCAACAAAGATTCTGACCATTTCCCCTTTTATTCTCAATTGCATCACCATCATCAAAAACCTGAGCGTTACCATTGAACAGAAATGTGATCAGCCATATGAGTATTGTGGCAACATGAAAGGTTGGGAATTCTGCGGTGAGTGTCTTGCCTCTTGAATCCCCAAATCCTGCCTGTCTTGATAACTTAGGAGTATGATGGGATACTCTGTATTGCCCTGGATGAGTGCAGCTCCAACCCTTAAAGTTTGACACCATCCAGTAGAATGTAGCTGACTTAATGGGATTCCTGTCTATCACCTCAAACATTCACTTTCACCAGTACATGTGACTGTTATGTGTAGCAAATGGCCAAGTTGTCTTTGACAGCATCTTCTAAACCTGTGACCACTACCACATAGAAGAAAGGCAAGAGATGCATGGAAACACTGTACCTGCATGTTCTGCATTCCATACAGGCCCTGAATGTTCTGTTGCTTTTTCTTTAATGTCTCTGGATCAAAAACCTTGAGAATTCCCTTCCTAACAGTACTCTAGATATATCTACATCATATGGCCTGCTGTGGTTCAAGGAGGTGGCTCTTGACTACCTTTTATTAGCAGGAATTGGAATGGGCAGCAGATACTTGCTCTGTCAGTGATGTTCGCATCCCATGAATGAATTAATGAAAGAAGGAATCTTGAGGAGTATAAATGCAGGCATAGAAAAGTTGAATTGAGTGGCCTGATTATGAACATGAGAATCTATAAAACTACTGATAATTAGTTAGAGTTGCGGTTATGTTAAGTGTAATTAAAAGTTGCATGTACTCTCCTGACCCTTCATGTAAGCTTTATCAAGTTTTATTTCCCCTAGCTCTGACTAACTGCATTTTTTTTAAACCTCTCAAAACAGTGAAAAATGAAGACCCTCGGATGTGTCTGGCTGAATACTTGCGCTCCAGTCTACACCTTTGTGGAACAAAGACTATGTGTTATGAAGGAGGTTGTGGTTGCTGTGTTGTTGTGCTTGAATATGACAACCCTGCGAAACCAGAGAAAAGAATCATCAAGTCAATGAATTCAGTAAGCTGATGTCTGCTGCATTTGTTATTCAGCTTGTATCTGTTTTGACGACAAAATGACCTTTTCCAAAATACATTTATTCATGCATATGCATATGTATCCTTTCAGTTGTATGGACCTCCATTATCCCTACCCCTGAAGGAACTATTTTTTCTGTGCAGATGCCCAGTATCTTTCAATGTCCCAAATACTGACCCACCCATTTTCAGTGATGCATATAAACATTTGTCAGGCCATTTTAGTCTGCCTTGTTGTCAATTTTATATAACAGAATCTATTTTAGTGCCAAGATAGATATGTATTTAATCTAAAGCAATTAATCAAAAGATCTGTTGTCATAATGTCATGCAATACAGAAAAGGCTGTTTGGCCTATCGGGTCTGCACTGATTTTTTCTTAAAGAAAACACCTACTTACATTGGTCCCACTTCCCAGTGGTATTTGAGGAGGAAGAATAACTTTGTAAAGCATTGTAAGGAGCTAGGAGTAACTAATGTTCTGGCCAACTGGGCTTGAATGCATCCATAGCAAATGAGATCATAGGAACAGAAGTAGGCCATTCAACCATAGAGATAACAAGGTGTAGAGCTGGATGAACACAGCAGGCCAAGCAGCATCAGAGGAGCAGGAAAGCTGACGTTTCGGGTCTAGACCCTTCTCATTCAACCATAGAGTCTGCTTTGCCATTCAGTGCGATTATGGCTGATGTGATAATCTTTAACTCCACTTTCCTGTCTCTTGCCTATAACCCTTGATTCCCTTACTAATTAAAAATCTGCCTGTCTCAGCCTCTGCAGCTCTCTGGCTTGGCATCTACTGTACTCTAGGGTAATGAATTGCATAGATTCACGACAAAGTAGAGGCGGTGTTTCCTTGTAAGGGGCAATCTAGACTGAGAAATTATAGTTTTAGTGTTGTTGGTGTGGCTACAATAAGTGGACTGCAGTGGTTCAAGAAGGCAGCTCACCACCACCTTCTCAAGGTCAACACAGCTGGGTGTAGTTGCTGACTAGCCAGTGATACTCACATCACACGAATGAATGAATATAAATGATAACAGAAGTCGCATCCCTGTTTGAAAATGATAATCTAAAATTAAGTTCACTTCAAGAACCAAACTGGTTTGGTTGATCTGTAATTTGAATTATACGAGATCTAGGAACTCAAAGCTATTCTTAATAAAGCCAGTATGTGAGCACCTGATCACAAGCATTCTCTGCATTAGTTCCTGCCGATTTGTCTCTTTAATCATCAATGATTAGCAGTGCTAACCTTAGACTACATTAGAGTTAAGGAGTACTGGGAAATTCTCCAATTGTCTTAATTTTATTTGGACATCTGATCTACAGAAATGAGCTAAGGTTTGCATTATTTCTTGTATACCATTACGTTTGGAAAGACAGCCAAAGCGCAATCTGGATTGTCACATCCAAGAATCTTGTTATTTATCACAATTCCAAAAGTCAGCTTTATGAATTATTCAAATTTTACTGTACTTCAGTATCTTGCTGTATCATTTGTATTCTTTATATTAATTGACTTGTAAATAAATTTGACCATTTGTCAACATGTACATACCAGGAAGAACAGAATGACCTTGCGGATATCACCTATAATTTGCCGCAGACAGTATACTATATTAATAATTAATCCAATAAATTTATTAAATTATTTTTAATATGGCTAATCATTACATTTGGGCAAATTAGGTCAAACTAGCAAATATAAGTACAGAGATAGCAAGAACTGCAAATGCTGGAATCAGAGATAACACAGTGTGGAGCTGGAGGAACACAGCAGGTCAGGTAGCATCAGAGGAGCAGGAAAGTTGACGTTTCGGGTCGGGACCCTTTTTCAGAAATCAAATATGAGTACAGGTGTTTGTTTTACATTTCCAGCATCCGCCGTATTTTGCTTTTATTCATAGAGCAAACTTAATATGTCAATAGCACGTAAGAAACAGAAATGGCTCCTCTTCTAAAAGTATTGAAATGTGAAGCTGTTTTCAAGCTAAAAGTCATAATATTTACTAACTTGTCAAATAACTATACTGTAGCAAAGGAATTCAATGAAAAAGTGATGTGAGAATAGGAGGAGGAGAAATTCACTTTGTAGCAAATGTCTGAGATCAGAACAGGGACCAGCCGCTGGCCTGATGTTGAGAAGCACGCATTAGAATCGGTCTTCAAAATTGTCAGAATCATCATCATCCTATAATCACTTAAGTATGCTACAATTATGAAGTTTATAAGGCTTTCCTAAACTATCAGTGAATATCAGAAACGTTATTTTGCCAGAGACCTACAGAGAGAGCATGTGGAAATCTAAAGGCTTTATGGTTCAACTTGCCAGAATGTGGGTGGAAGCTGAAGCTTGAATAAATAAAAACAAATTCCAAGGCGTTAGAATGAAGCTGCAAGATATACCTAGCTCCGACCAGAAGGAAAATCTTCAGTAATACCCTCAATACAAAGGACAGTTTTCAAGCAAGATGTTACCAAGTAGATAAAGGTAAAAGCAGAAGTCTCAAGTTAAGAATCATTTTAGGGCATTTAATGTCCACTTAAAGGACAGTGTTATGTATACCCTGTCGAGTGATTTTGCGGTTGTGTTTAAAACAAAAAAGGTATTACTTTCTGTAATTTGAAGTGTAAGTTGCCAACAATAATAGTGTTTAATTACTTAGGCTATTAATCTTTTCATAATAGTAAACATCTTGAACCACAAAATATTGGTGTACCATCATTTTATTATTGGAAGTTTATATCGCTTTTTAAAAGTTATCAATACATACTAATATCCTAATATGTGACCCAGATAAAACCCTAAGTCCAACAAAGATTTCAAATAACTAGTTGATGTAAACATTTTATGGGACAAACAACTCCATATTGCAACAGAAGAGCAAAATTGCTAAGATACGACCAAGAGACCTCTGCTAAAATTATTGGGTTGTGATGCTTCATGTGACAAAACAAAGTGACAAAAACAAATAGTATCCATTAAGTCACATCAGCAACATGGATGGAACGCCCATGAATTTTGATTTACCCTGTGCCCAAGCTATAGAATGTAAAGATGCAAACTCATCTCCAGCCTCTGAGACGCAGGACTCTGCTCCGCCCTCTGCAACAGGATCTCGACTTCCTGATCCACAGAATGCAATCAATAAGGATTGGTGTCAATACCACCAGCACGATAATCGTCAACACCGGTGCCCCCAAAACTATGTACTCAGCCCCTGTACTCCTTATATGCTCATGACTGTGTGGCCAAATTCTGCTTTAATCCATTTGTAAGTTTGCTGATGACGCCACTGTAGTGGGCCAGCTCCTAAACAGCGATGAAACAGAGTGAAGCAAAGAGGTAGAGAGCTTTGTGGCATTGTGTAAAGACAGCAAGCTCACCCTCAATGTCCACAAATGAAGGAGCTGGTCATCAACTTCAGGAAGCAGAGTGGAGGACATGCCCCTATCAGCATCAATGGCGCTGAGATGGAGATGGTTGAAAGTTTCACGTTCCTAGGAATAATTATCACCAACAATCTGTCCTGTTTCATCCACATCAACACTGTGGTCAAGAAGGCACACCAATATCTCTATTTCCACTGAAGGCTAAGGAAATTAGGCATGTTCACAATGACTCTTACCAATTTTTATAGATGCACCATAGAAAGCATCATATCTGGATGCATCACAGTGTGATGTAGATTTTTGAAGAGGTGGCAAAGAAAATTGATGAAGGCAGAGTAGTAGGCATTGTCTGTCTGGACTTCAGCAAAGCATTTGTCAAGGTTCGGCATTGTAGACTGGTTAGTAAGGTTAGATCACACGGGATCCAGGTGGAGCTAGCCAATTGGATACAAAATTGGCTTGAAGGTAGGAGACAGACGATGGTGGTAGAGGGTTACTCTTTGGAGTGGAGGCTGTTTTTTGTCATTAATATAAATGCTTTGGATGTGAATACAGAAAGTATGGTTAGTAAGTTTGCAGATGATACCAAACTAGGTGGTATAGTGGACAGTGATGAAGATTATCTCAGACTACAATGGGATCTTGATCACATGGGCCGTGGGGCTGAGGAGAGGCAGATGGAGTTTAATTTAGAGAGATGTGAGGTGTTGCATCTTAGTAAGGCAAAGCAGGGCAGAATTTATACAGTTAACGGTAGGGTCCTGGGGAGTGCTGCCAAACAAAGACACCCAGGGATGCAGGTGCATAGTTCCTTGAAAGTGGAGTTGCAGGTAGACAGGGTAGTGAAGAAGGTGTTTGGCATGCTTGCCTTCATTGGTCAGAACATTGAGTATAGGAATTGGGACATCATGTTGTGGGTATACAGGACATTGTTGAGGCCACTTTTAGAATACTGCATACAATTCTGGTCACCCTTCTATAGAAAGGATGTTGTTAAACTTGAGAGGGTGCAGAAAAGATTTCCAAAGATGTTACTGGGACTGGAGAGTTTAAGTTATAGGGAGAGGCTGAATAAACTGGGGCTTTTTTTTCCCTGGAGTGTCAGAGGCTGAGGGGTGACCTGAAGAGGTTTACAAAATCATGAGGGGAATGGATAGAGTGAATAGCTAAAGTCTTCCTCCCAGGGTAGGTAGTTCAAAACTAGAGGGCATTAGGTTAAGGTGAGAGACCTGAGGGGTAACTTTTTCACTCAGAGGGTGGTGCATGTATGGAATGAGCTACCAGAGGAAGTGGTAGAGGTGGGTACAATTAACATTTAAAAGGCATCTGGATGGGTATTTAAATAGGAAGGATTTAGAGGGATATGAGCTAAATGCTGGCAAATGGGACTAGGTCAGATTGGGATATGTGGTCAGCGTGGACGAGTTGGACTGAAGAGTCTGTTTCTGTGCTGTATGACTCTGCCTCTATAAGTGGAGAAAAGAGCTAAATTAGGTTCCCTCTGGGTTACCCCTTGGATTTATTGGTAAATATGCTCCATTTAATGCTTCTAGTTTTGGATATTTCCATAAGTAAAAGCAATTTTTT